CATGACCATCCACGCCCCTTGAGCCCCCCCCCTCCTCGCGGCCCCGGGCCCGCCAGCGTCTGACGCGGTCACCATGGTCACGCTGCTGGGGTCGACGGGCCATATCGCCAGATACTGATTGGCGGTAGCTTTTAGATGCCTCACGATCTTGATAGCCAACAGCGCGTCTGAAACCGAAGGCGAGGGCAACGCTGCCGCTTGAAGAGAGGCCCCACCTGAAACGTCTGGTCGGCCCTCGCGAGCCACCCACTGGATTTGCGCAATCATTGATCGATAAGATTTGATTTCCTCCGAGCGAAGTGGACTGTCAGGTTCCGAACGTCGATGCTTATCAAGGTGCATGGGGCTGAGCTGCTCGCGGATATATTTTTCTTGTTCCGCAATAATTTTGTCGGGGAGTTGCTTCAGGTGTCTCCCTGCATAATCAGCCCCCTTGCTTTGCCATTTCCCGAAACGAAACCTTTGCGTCAGCCTCTTCCTCAACTCCTCCTCCAAACCTTCCTCACTGGCCACGATAAGATCGTCCACTTCGATGAGAATAAGCGACTCGAGCCTGCCGACTTTGTTATGTTTTAGCCACAAGCATGGCTCCACCAGCGACTTGCGACACCCCTGCTCCCCCAGCCAGCTCGTAAGTGTCTGATGCCACCGAATCGGAGCATCATTGAGGCCGTACACTGGGGCCACCAGCTCGATGAGTTGGCCCTTCTGGACTGGGAGGCCTTACAGGGCTCGCAATATATTGATCCTCGAGGTCGCTGAAGCTTGTCTGATTGACAGAAGGCGTTTTTGCAGTCTGCCACGTTCAGGTTCCAACCCATCGAGCAGATGATTTGCAAAACTGTCATGATGCTTTCGCTCTGCGGAGTCGGTGCATAGACGTGCAGTTCGTCATGATCAGGGTCTTGATGCCCTCTGATGCACCAGCGACTCTTGGCAATCGGCTCCGTTCCTATCCCCTCCTGTGGCTTGGACCTCCTCACCATCCCACTGGATAGTATCCTTTCGGGATGCCTCCTCCTTATCATCATGGCCTCGTCAGCCGGCACGATTCTCACGGCTCCGGAGGAGATGATCGCCTGCCATTCCTTCGTGTCAGAGAAAACGAAGAGTTGCCTCTGCTGAGGCGCGAGATGCTTCAGCACCACCTCTGAACCTCGCTGCGGCACCGGGGCCTTCGACGCGCCCGGCAAACTTACAAAAGATGCATAGCCGCCCGAGAGAGCTTCGCCCCAAGACAACAAAGTGGACCACAACTTCTCCTGCTCCTGAGCTTCCTCCTCGTCTTCGCTGTCCCCCTCCTCCTCTGCTGCTTCTCTGGAAAGCAACGCGCTGGCTGATGCTGGGGATGCTGCTGCTGCCGCTGCTGAGTCGACTGGCTCTATTCTCATCTCCTCCTCTTCTGCTTTCCTCACCATGCTTTCGACCACCGACCCGTCCGACAGCTTCGGATACACTCCTCGACCTCCTTCCCACTCCTGAACGCTCCTCTTCACACTTCCAGGGTCCTGAATTGCCTCCTCGGCGGGAGTGAGACGAGATCTTAAAACACGGACCTGCGCAAGCTCCGAGGCTTCCATTCTTCGCCTCAGATCCTCGAAGCTGCCAGAAACAGAGGGTGCCTGACTGGGCGCTGGGCTCACTTCCAGCCTGGCACTGTCTCCAGCGCCCGGGGCCTGACCGGCCTCCTGGCGCACAGGACCCGATCCACCATCTGATGGAAGCTGAGTGCTCAGGGCCCCCGGGGACACCTGTCTTTCTGGAGCCTCCCCTGGCATGGGCGCCAAGCTTTCTGGAGGGGGCCTCATTGGGAAAATCGGAACTCCTCCTGAACTATCTTCGCCTGCCTCTCCTCCTCCTCCTCCTCCTCCTCCTCCTCCTGGGCCTCCAAGAGCCTCCTCTGGTCTTCTGGAGTCCCAAGCTTCTTCCAGCGGGGGTCCTTCTGCTTCGACGTCGACGGCTCCAACTCTTTGGTTCGGCCGCCTTAGATCTTCCCTCAGTTGGTCAAATCTAGGATGGCTAAGGAGCTCTGCGCCTAAGGACTCGTAGCGGGTGGCTGACCGCACTTGTTCCTGAGAGCATTTCCAAAGCTTTGACCTCATAGCTACCCATACAGCACCCCCTTGCTGCCAAACCACTGCCCCAGGTCCCACCCAGCGATCTCTCTGCAGTAAAACGGCACGAGTCTGTGGGGTAGTCTTTCTCCAAACATAGACCCATTGACCTGGACTGAAATGCTCGTCGGCGCGCCGCCGGGCTTTTCGAGCCTCGTCGACTCGACTCTGAACTTCGATGGTGAAGGCCGCTCGCCGAGCAGCTTCTCTCACCTTGTTCTTCCTAGCAAAAGAAGCGGCGGCGGTATCTTGGTCGGCTGAGCTGGGCGCCAGATCATCTATCCCAACCTCGTCGTGAGCATCGTCCGTGAGAAGTTTTCTAGGCATCCTGGGATTCCCCCCCAGCACCAATTGGTAAGGCGAGAACCCGCCACGGTGAAAATGACGATTCTTGGCCCCAAGAACCTCTCCCAAGAGATCCTCCAGCTCCTCGGTACTCCTTGGGGGAACTTCGGCTGCCGCTTTGTGCAGCATACTCTTCAGCCAGCCGCCATGTCTCTCTGCGCGCCCGTTCTGGCGCGGGGAACTGGCATCACAGATGTGCTGGAAGATGCCGTGATGCTCGCAAGACCGTTCAAAAAGGCCGGCAAACTCTGGACCTCCGTCCGACATCAGAATCTCCGGTGGTCCAAAATACCTCAACCAAGTTCTCGAAAACCCGGACCAGGCCTCGTGGGCCGTGGGCTGCTTCAGAACCGTCGCGACCTGGAAGCTAGTCCCGTGGTCAATGATGTTCAAAATCGGAACGCTCTGACCCTGGAGATTCATGTACACGAGGTCTACGGCGATCAAGCGATTAAAATGAAAAGTGCGCGGCAAGTGAGCTTTTCTTCTCCAGCTAGGCCTCTTCTGTGAATCACAATCTTCGCACCTGAAATTCTCCCGGGCCCACTTGATGATATTGGGACGCACTCTGGAAACTCGAAGAGCCCGAAGAAAATCTCCCAGAAGCGGATGACCTAAGTTGACGTGAAGTTTAAGTAGCTCCTCCTTGACCTCCTTAGTGACTCCTCCCTCCTCAGCTTTCTCCTCTGATGCTGGTTCCGGGTTTACTTCCTCGGCTTCCACTCTCTCGCCCTCACCGGCTTCGGCACCGAGATCTGGCCAGCTGCGAGGGCAACCGTACTCCTCACTAGGCTCTGGCTCGTGCCATACATCACTGGCAAAAGTGCCGCACTCGGCCGGGGCGGCAAATTGAGAGCCTCGCAGCAGCGCTCGCCTCAGAGTGTCCTCGACTCCGTCAGCGATCGCCTCGACGAGAGCATCGGGATACTTCTCAGAAGCGTGAGTCCTGGCCCCTCCCACCAAAGGAACGCGCCTGTGACCACCCGAGCACTCTCTCTGGCACCGTCTCAAAGCTTCGACACTGTTCGAAGCGAAGCGAGTGGGTTTCTTCGACGCTCCATGCTCACTGACACTGAGCCCGAACTGACACTGATCGCACTCTACCGTGGTAACTCCAGGAAGAGAGAAGATGACGTCGGCCGCTTTGGTCTCCCACGCGAGTGATGTCAGAGGATGCTCTATCATGAAAAACCTCCCTCGCTGAACCTGATATTCAGCAACGCGAGCACACAGCAAGAACGCTCTGATACCCTTCTCCTCTTCCTCATCCCTTTTACCCTCATCCATGTGATGCCACACAGCTCTTCTAGCATGGCTAAAAGCTTTGCAAAACGGCGACATCATGACAAACTCGGGAGCTTCCTCCTCTAGGACTTTCCAGAGTGCTCTTTCCCCGGACTCGGACAACATATCGAAACCCGTGAGGAGATCCATGGCTTGACAGACCCTTTGCTTTCTCTTGGACAGCTCTGAGGTGACCCTAGTTACCGAGAATATCTCTAAGAACGCAGCCGAGCCTTTCTTTTCTAAACCTTGGCGAACCGAGACGGACACTCTTCTCCTCGAAGCCCTCACTCCTCTTCCTTCTAAAAGTTTGAAGGCCACTTCCCTTCCGCGCCTAGGTAAAGTGGCCGATCGACGATCCACGTCGGCAGCCAGAGCTGAGAACAGATCTTCTTCGACCTCAATCAAGCTTTCACCTAAGTGTGGCTCCTCAGGGTAGTCGGGCTTCGCTTCCCTCTCCTCCTGTCTTGTTCCTGGTCCCTCCTCCTGTCTTTCCTCACACACCTCTACTTCGCCCTCTTTCCTCAGGCCCTCTTGGGCCACTTCGGTGAGCAGGGAGGGGTTCCAGATCCGGTCGCACACTTTTCCGTCGGCTTTCCTTATCCTGATCCTTCGAATGCTTTCGGGAACGGTTCCCGGAAACAGCGTCGCTCTGACTTTGCCCAGGGACGCCCCAATCCAGAACGCCAGCTTTTCTTTGTCCTTCAGGATCCTGGAGGACCATCTGGCGGCTCGAGATATCTCCTCCGGAGTGGCTCTTTCCCCGGAGACCTTATGGATCACGGGGCCCAAGCTGAATCTCTCAGCCGTCTGGTTTCTTTTCCTCCTCAGTCCAACCTTCAGTAGCTTCGCGGAGGCCCACGTCAGATTTTCAGGATGAGCCAAAAGCCAAAAGAGACATTGCGGTCTCTCTCGCACGCGGCGGCAGCTGCCACGCGGGAAAGACTGTGGACCTCTGGAGGGCCTCAGAGGATCGCTCTACCCGCTGACGTCGCCCTGGTTCTGGGCGCCCTCCGGGATGATCCAGGCTGCTCCCGCCATCTGGTTGATGCCGTTCTGAATGGCCTCGTTCACGCTCCTCATCATGTTCTGCATCTCGCTCTGGAACTCGTGCCTGGCGATCGCCTGGTCGGCGTTCGAGTGCCACGGATCTCCCTCCAGAGTCGGAGTCCTCAATCTGGGAGTTGGTGCCGCCCTTGCGCGTGCCCCCACCTGCACTGGGGTTCTCGCGGTCGGAGGAGGTCTGGCCGGAGGAGCCTTCATCTCGATCTCGAGAGAGCTGTCGCTCTTGAAGACGTGCGTGGGGGAGTTCGACTTGACCGCTGACAAGACCGATGGCCCCGCCTTGGAGCGAAGTCCGGGCGGGGGTTGCGGCTCCGTCTCCACGACTCCGCCCGATCCCTGCACGCTCCCCGGGTTGATGTGTGAGGTCGGCGGCTCGTAGGGCATCTCGTCCTTGACGCGCTGGGCCATCCTCCTGGCCTGCCTCTGCTCCTTGAGCCGCTTGCGGTTCGCCGCCTCCTGGATCTCCTCCGGGGTCTTGTCGCGCAACATCAGGCGGAGGTCGCAGCCCGCGCAGTGTACGCACACGCTCGTCGAGTTGGATCCGGGGCGACGAAGGCAGGCTGGATGACTGCAATTCAACGGATCGTCCTTCTTCTGATACCCCAGCGGCACCGCTATGGCCATGGCGAGGTTGATACTCACCTGCACCATGAACTTGACGATCTTCAAAGCGAACCTGCGCCACGCCTGGTGACCTCTGGTGAAGACCAGCTCCCCTGAGAGAAGCATGCTGAGGTCCTCCTGATCCATCGTTTCGAAAGTGAAGTCGATTGATTCCTCTGGCACCTGCGAAGACGAGCTGGGCGTCATCTCCTCGTCGTCGGTCTCGTCCGCTGAGCTCTCCAGGGTCTTCTTGAGCTTCTTCTTCATGCTGATCAGGCGCGACGAGCCCTCGTCCTCTCGAGTCATCTTGGTGATCTTCGCCTCGACCATCGACACAGTCTCTCGCGCTGCCTTCGGTCTCAGTGAAAAAGGGTGAGTGCCTCACCTGTCTTGAACATGAAAATGATTCCAGAGAGCTGCCATCGTGACGGGATTCATAGATCGGTCTACACTCTGAGGCCTCGACGGAAGTCCTGATCTTCTCAGCTCCTGGGTCCTGGCTTTCTGGCTCCAGCACGGTCCTAGGTCGGCTTCCTCCTACTTTGGACTTTAGCGGGGGCTTTCCTCTATCCTCATCTTTATCCTCCTGTATCTCCTCCTCTTTCCCTGCTGCTTTCCGGACCTCCTCTTCTTTGCTACTTACACTGTACACCGCTGCCCCTTTCCCTACTGCCCTACAACTACCCACCCAGCCCCTGGTGTCCTGAACGACGGGACCGGGCAGCCTCGAGAGCACCTCGTCGTTGAGAGTGAAGTGCTCCACCGGGCGTTGGATTAGCGAGACAGAGCGATGCCCGCCAGCGCGACGGTGCAAAGGGATCTCCTGGCCCTCGTCACCTACCCTCATGCAATCATTGCTCAAATCAATCACCGCCTTTAAAAACTCGAGAAAACGTGCTGGCAAGAGAGGAGGGCACTGGTGAGGAAGGATCAGAAACTCAACTACTCCACAGACCCAAATGCTCACCGGAACGAAAGCTTCGCCTATCGGGTTCACCTTACCTCCAATCCCCGAAGCTGGGGTCGACTGATTCTCCCATTGGATCTGAACTCGATACCCTTTTTCTTTCATCGCCTCGGCCAGTTTCTGCACGTCGGGCTTCCCGATGAGGGCTTGACCTGCCGCTGTGTCCACAAGAGCATGATCTGACATGTTCGAAAGCGATAATCCCGTGAACCATTCGCTGCTTCGGATCTCTTTCAACTGATCTGAAACAATTTCCTCAATGGTAGCCCAAGTATTGTGATTGTCAGCCGAGGAGGAAGCTAACTCGAAATAGTATCCCTTCTGAGTCTCCTTGGGTTTCCGGTCGTCCTGGCGTGGTTTGCACGGATTCTTGCACTCATCTTTCCAATGTCCCTTTTGCCCACAGTTCGCACATTTTGATCTCTTTTTCAACTCTTTGATCGAAATCCGTCTAAAACCCGATTCTGGAGGAGGAGGCGCATCATTCCTTTTTCTGTCGAAGAATTATCTGTCCACTTTTCTCACTTGTTTTATCTTTCTCGACTCCTGCCATGTCCTCTTCTTGTGCGTGCTGATCTTTTCACCAAGTATGGCTGAGAAGACTTGTATAATCTCTGACTCCTCCAAGTCCTGCTGATCAAAGGCTGCCAGTACTTGTGTCGCTTCGTCCTCGGGTAGGTCGACGTCATCGTACTCCACGTATGTTTCCCATCCCACTTCCTGCCAATCTTGACATTCACCCTCGGTCGCTTCTCCCGCTGCGAAGGTCTTAGCCACAGTGGCTGGTCCCCCGGGCAGGATCGCTTTCTCCTTCACGTCTAACAACAAAAGCGCCTTTCTGATTGAACTGCTGTCGGTATGCCCATTAGCCATCGTTCTCATATTGATTTTATTTTGTGGGGTCAACATAGCTCCTTCTTCGAAGTAACTCGATTTAACACTGTCGGGAAGAATAAGTCCAAACCTTTCCGCTTCTGCCAACTGCGCATCCCTGCGTACGATGAAATCTGTTATCGTTTCTCCTCTATGAATCCGATAATCAAACAATGCTTTGTTATGTGCCTCCCTTTCTTTGTCACCCGGACGTTCTCCATTCAGAATACTCAGATGATCTAATAAACGTCTCAGTCCATCATCGAGTGACATTTCGTGTCTCACCATTTTGAATTTGACTTGAATGTCTACTGGAAGCGTCTCCAAAACCCTGTTTGCTTTCTGCTCTGCTTTGACTGCTGTACGGTTCGACCAGGCCTCAACATTGGCCTTATACAATTCTAAATTGTCCATGCCAAGCCAAATTGGTGGGGGGCCATAGTCTCTGTTGACTTCCGACCACGAACTGGTTTGCCAATCCGTCTTGGAAGTGTCCCACCAACTAGACTTGCCCCCGTTCCACTCTTCCCACGACCACCACCAGCCATAGTCATCAGTACCCACACACTGATTATTTCTGGTGTTCCCCCCTGTCGTGTCGTGTTGGCCTGCGTCTCCCTCTCTCGTGCTAAACGATCTCGCTCCGTCGTCAACGCCTATCCCACCACTGCTCCACTTACCACTGTTAGCTGTCTCATCGTCCGCGGGCATTCGACGGAAACGAGGCAAGAGCCAGCAAACGGTATCGAGACGTGAAGATTATGAGTCGTGATTTATCAGCACAGTCAAAGAGAGCGTACAGTACACGCACATGACACACTAAAGCCAACACGGGCTACGGAAGAGAAACATACATGGGGTCCCCCAGGGTTTTACTTGGAAGGGACCCTGACTCTGGACCTTTGGATCCGGATAGAGAGTTATCCAGGGACTCACTCATTGGCGAGGGAAAGCCAATTAGGGACAGAGGGAGGGAGGGAGGGAGGGAGGGAAGGAGGAAGAAGGGAAAGGGAAGAGAGGGAGGGAGGGAGGAGAGAGGAGAGGAGGAGGAGAGGAGGAGGAGGAAGGAGGGGGAAGCGGTGAGCTCACACCGTGAGATTTCTCGGTGCGCGCGCGTCGCCCCTTGGGGGGGGGGGGGGGGGGGGGGGGGCGGGGCGACGCACACATAGCATCAGCATGTCGGCGTGGTGCCGATCGCCCTCGCCGCCATCATCGTCGCAGTCGGTCGGCATCGAGGCTGGAGGACCCCGAGACTGCCTGGCGCTCTTCTCGCTCGCTGTGGGGCCTCTTGGGCGCGCCGCCGTCGCCGCACGGCCGCGGCGAAGATGATGGGCCGGGGTCGGAACGCGGGATCGGGCGGGTCGTCGTCGGCGGCGGCGCCGGCATCATCGCCGCCGCAGGGAAAGATACAGATGAGAAACGAAACGAGAGAGAGAGAGAGAGAGATGGCATGGTGTACGTAGATCTTTAGAGAGAGAGAGAGGAGGATCAGGGCAGAGGGAGGGAGCGAGGAAAGAGACAGAAAGAGAGAGAGAGAGAGAACAAAAAAAAAAAAAAAAAAAAAAACGTGGAGAGGAGGAGGAGCCGGAAGCGGAAGAGGAGGAGGAGGAGGAGGAGGAGGAGAATGAGACGACGATGATGACGAGGAGGAGAAAGAGGAGGAGAAAGAGGAGGAGGAGGAGGAGGAGGAGGAAGATGCTCCGTGCCTGCCTGGAGCTGTCGACCCTGGTCGGCTCGGCCTCCGCCGTGGCTCTGGTCATCCCTGGGGGCCCTTTTCGCCAGGGTCGTCGCACGGCCGCCTCACGCGACCCGGCGGCCGCGCGCGGCCGCCGCCCTGGCGCTGTGGGCGAGGCGGCGCCCCCCCTCTGCTCGGCAGAGGAGGGGAGGATGCCCAGTGCCGTCCAGACCACTCGAGGGACAAGCACTCTCACAACCACGAGCGCTCGGGGCTGCGCGTGGGTTCTGGGTTCGGCGCGGGACGACCCCGGGCGCGCGGAGCCCGACAGGGCAGCTGGATCTGGCGCCGAGCGCCAACCTCCACCACTCCCTGCCGAGGTCGTCCTTCACCATGCCCTGCTCCAGCTGAAGAGCCCAACTGATGCGCCCAAGGCTCAGCATGACAGCCGCTACCGGTCGCTTGATTGTTCCCCACGGCGACGCCCTCGTGCATTCCTGGATCCCGTCCTCGTAGCAAGACAGCAAAACCTCATCTGATGCCGTTTTAGCCCACCTGACCGCCACAAACTTCTGCACCAAGTGTACGGGGTGACGTTCGTAAGCGGGTCTCGTTTCCACAGCCGTGGCTCTCGCCTTAGCGCTGCGAATAATCGCCTTAAACATGAGCGAGAGCTTCACAGAGGGAAGGCGGGTCGTTTTCAAAATGTGGCTCTCGCCTGCACGGCGCGCGCTCTCGTCTTCACAATCCCACCAGCCCTCTGGGCGTCGGTGATTTAAAGAGTTTCTCTGGGTTTACCCCTCCCCCTACCCCCTCCCTATGGACCTGGACAAGGGGGTTCCGCGAGGTGTCGGAGCGTCCAAAACGGCCTCGGCGAGGAAGCAAAAATCACTGGTTGTACTAAGGTTTTGGCCCCATGTTGGCCTCTGGGGGGGGGGGGGGGCGTAATTGAGGACCCCCCCTTCGTTGACCGATATCATCCAAGATGGTCCCAAGAGAGCCCCTAACGCTTCCAAGAACGCCCCGACAAGGCCCCCAAAGGAGCCCAGGCGGGCCCAAGAGGCGCCCAGGAGGCCCCAAGAGGCCCCAGGATGGCCCCAAGATAGCCCCAAAATGGCCCCAAGAGACCCCCAAAATACCCCCAAGAGGACCCCAAGCGGCCTCCCCGAGGCACCCAAGACGCCCAAGAGTCCTCAGGACCGCAACGAGACCCCCGAGACGTCCCAAGAGGCTTCAAAACAACCGCCCACGAGATATCCCAAGGGGCTCCGAGAGGCATTCAGGAGACCTCCAAGAGACCCGAAGAGGCTTCACGAGGATCCCCGAAGCCCCCAAGATCCCCCCCAGACGCTCCAAGAGGTTTCCAAGACAACCCCCAACAGACATCCGCAGAGGATCATACGTCCGCCCTGTTTCCTCCTCCTCCTTGTCCTTCTTTCCTTTTTTCCTCCTCCTCCTCCTCCTCCTCCTCCTCCTCCTCCACTTCCTCCTCCTCCTCCTCCCCCTTATCCGTCTACTCATCATCCGAGAACCAGCACCCATCAGCAACAACAGCAGCACTAGCAACAGCGACAGCAGCAGCAGTACCAGCAGGAGCAAGAGCACCAGCAATAACACCTGCAACCTTCGCCACAAAAGATCTCCCGGTTCACCGTTGTTGCCCGCTCTGGTTCACTATGTGAGTCTCTTCTTCCCTTCTTCCGTCAGCTTTCCTGGGCATCGTTTCTGGATGGGCTGGTGGGGATATTTTTTTCCTCGCGGGCGCGAGCGGAAGCGCAGGCGCCGAGTCGAAAGGTCCGGGCCACGGGCCGATCG